GCAAGCATCTGAAGAAGTGAGGTTCTTACCCACGAAAGCTTATGCTCCCAGTACTTCTGTTAGTCTCAAAGGTGCCACAGGACCCTCTGTTGCTTTTTACAGATTCAGACTAACACGGCTACCCCTCTGATACAATTACCATAAATCTTGTACAAAGTATGTCATGTAAGCTATCAATAGAAAAGTTGTAATTTGCTAAGTATGATTATCTTGTTTCTATGCATGTATCATATTTGCATCTGAAGTTATGAATATTGGCAATGTACTTGTATTTTAAATGTGTCGTATTCCTGGGTGACACCCACCAGATAGCTGTCTAGCCCTGATGTAAATCTATGTATCGTCGGCCCATTAGGAACACTCAGCTCTCATAATGGGCCATTGAAGAAACTCATCTCACTCAGTAAGTCTGCCTGCAGATGCCTCAGACAGCAAGGAGCCAATTGCCAGCCCCTGTGATTCAGCAAAACATGCAGGGGCATGTGATATGCTCATGTGACCCTAGACCCCATCTTGGGCCAGTCATTTTCCATGGACAAGGGCTATTGGCTCTGTTTGGGAAAGTAAATTACCATGCACGTGGCAAAGGATATAAAAAACACCTGAGACACTTCCTCTACCAATCACACTACTTACATATTTGAAGGGTGTTGTAGTGGATCGGGCACTGGACTGGGAATCCGGAGACCTGGTTTAAATTCTCAGTTCAGCCAGTGACTTTGGACAAGTTATTTAATCCATCTATAAAATGGGAATTATACCTCACAGGCTGTTGTGGTGATAAGTTCATTAATGCTTTTGAGCCACTTAGATACTACAGTGATAAGGGTCATATAATTACAGACATTATAAGTGTGTGTATGTATATGTAATATGTGTATGTAATAAATAAAAATTAATAAAGCATAATATATTTTCCAGGTTAAGCAGAATCTCTTTGATTTTTAAGAATACATTTTGCAGTGCTAGGTAACAAGAAAATACAAATCCGTAGCAATCATGTCAAGAGAAGATGCAGCATATTCTCCCAGTAACTGAATGTCCCTTTGGATTGGGTCCCTCACTCCCTACAATTAAATTGAATAGTTGGTCACCATCTTTCCACAGATAAATTTGCAAACTTCTGGTAAATGAATTGGTGAAACAGAACTTGAAAAAATTGGCAACACTGTCAGATATAATGCATATTTTTTCTTTTATACTGTGTCATATTTCTAATGTCCTCTAGCACAATATATATGTATGTATGTATGCCAAATCGACTAAAAATAATGTTTCCTTTTTTGTGAAAGTAATTATATCTGTCTTCTTCTGAATGTTCAGTAGCTGTTTCACTTCTAACATTTCCTTATTGACTCTACAGGAGAAATACCCTTAATTTTGCAAAATTTTCTACAGCGTAATTAAGTTCATCCACTCATTTTGTGTTGTTACAGAGGATCTTGATGATTTAAGAATGGAAGGAGTAACCAGTGTGATGACTTCTGGGAGTAAATTTAATCAAACTCGAAGCGCACATCCTGCTGAACCTCAGGCAAAGGTCACGTTGAACATCTGCGCAAGGTGTGCCAGGTAAAACAATAGCCAGTCATAATAACAAGTAGATTCTTTTCCCCAGCTTTTTTAGATAACTACTATGCTTACTTAAGGGTCAAGAAGTGACCGCCCCTTTGCTAAAGGAAAATAACTTTGCTCCTAGCTATCCTTTGGCCTATTTTGGCAACTGAGTTTTGTGTAATGTGTGATACAGTTCACATCAACAGTGAATCAGAGTATAGGTAGTCTTGAGCCTTACTTCACAGCTTGAAATTATTTTAAGCCTTTCTGAATTTCATTAGTTATCTGAGCTTCTGTGGCTTTTCAAGAGATGAATCAGGGAATTTAGCAGTTCAAAATCAATTTAAAAGCACCTGTATAAATGGAGGTTTAGTTGCACAGGTGCAGTTCACGATTTCATAAAGTTGCATCTTAACACTTCATAATCTCATCCTGTTTCACCTCTTAGAAATACTTTAATCAGTTTGAACCCTTTTTAATTTTGGTAGCTGAAAGTAATTTTTGTATTTCCAGTATGAGGGCATACAAACAGCTTGGTATTCCTGAAGCCAAGTCAACTAAGAATGCAACACTAGTTGAAATGCCTTAAATTTTAGATTTAATCTCTCTGTGTAGACACAAGATCATTTAGAAGAAGGATTTAAGCCTGTTTAAATGGCAAAACTAGTCTTTTTACCCTTAGGTAAATGGCATAGATTAACAAGACCAATACAGAGGTTTGCTAATTTTCTCTTCTTGCCTTTGCCACTGGCTGTTCTGTGTTGTTTTAGAGGGGATTAGCTACTTGTATATAGAAATAACCTGTGGTGAAATCAAATTGGTAGTTTTGGCGTGTGCCACCCTAGTTTTGTTTTTTCCATTTTAAGATTATCGCTTTTTAAAATGACACCTGTTTAGGGATTGTTTGCACTGTTGTAACCATGTTGGTCCCAGGATACTAGAGAGACAAGGTGAGTGAGGCAATATCTTTTATTGGTGAAATAGACAAGCTTTCAAGTTTACACAGACCTCTTCTTCAGGTTTAGGGATGTTGATTTGAAAACACTTGCTGGTACTCCTAATATACCCACAGGCATGCTAAATCCCCATGCTGTACCACATTGTCTGCACTGTTCCCAGGATGTGATACCTGTGAGAATTACATGGCAGCATTGTCAACACAGCTGTGTCAACACTGTGAGCTGTAAAGCCTGTAATTCTCAAAAATTTTGCTTTTGGTGGCGAGGTGTTGTATCTTCAGAAATGACTAAAATATAGTACTGTACTCTAGAGAGGAAATGACTAAAATAGGGTACTGATGACCATCTTCCTAAATCATAGGGAATAAAATGCTAATATTGTGCAATATTCTTCCAAACAACCAAATATGTAGTAACTTACATTTTCTCAACTCAGTGCTCATCCATATGTTAAAAGTTGGTAACAAGTAAATTAGGAAGGTTTGGGTTTTCTATATGTAGATGTGTACAAAGATTTAATACAAATACTTTATATGGATCTATTTTTAAGGAGTGAGGTTAAACCTACCTTTGGATTGATACATTTGGTGTCAATGATTGCATTGAATTAATTGTTGTTGTAATTTCATATTACCTTTCACATCTCTTTATTATTTTAAGGGTTAAAAATGAATAGTTCCATGTCCTGCTTACCATAGTGGCCGTGGCACTCTTATGAGGCAAGAAGTCATTCTAGGAGCCATACAGCTGTTGTTTGGCCACCAAATCCAACTCACCCCTATTCAGTGGGTTGAATCTTTGAGCCAAATCTTGGCCTACTCTAGGGCCCCTCTGCACCACTCTAATGGTGCACATGGACCTTTAGAACTGCCTTAGATGGGCAGTTGAAGATTTCCCTGGTGAGGTTTTCCCCTGGAGGCTAATTCAATGCTGACTCAAAAAACTGTGGGAGGGGACAGTTGTGAAGGAGGGTTATAAATGCAGCTTTGCTGGGCCCCATGTGTGCCAAATAGTGCTCATATGCACCTATGGGTTGATCTGTACACTTCCCTCTCCCAGCCCCATTTGATGATGGCAGAGAGTACCTGACTGAAAATTTATGTCTCCCCCATACTCATCACCTGAGTATCTGAACACCTGCCTCCATTCCTTTGGCTCTTGCTGCTGTTCATCAGCCTCTTTAAGTTTCCAAGGAACCATAGACCTTTCTGCCCCAGTGCCATTGGGGGAAAGCTCTAAAGTTAAAGATGGGAATTGCCATTCCCCTCAGTGTTGAGGGGACTTTATCTTTCTCTTCAAGAAGGTACGAGGTGCAGGGATACTACTGGAGCTTCAGCTGCTCATGACACCGTAGTTGGGAAGAAAGCCACTTTTCTCCTCTGTACTTGGTGAAGCAGTTGCCTCCATGTCTTTTGTTTTCTCCACAATGGACTGCTCCAGTGGGTTCTACATTCAGCAGCCCAGCTACTGGGTGGAGTGAGCTACAGGAAGCATACTATGCTAGTACTCTAAAGACTGCTTTAGTTTCCTATTGGTTTCCAAGTGCAATTCAGTATGTTGATACACGTCTTTAAAACTTTGTCTTGAGTCCTAGCTACCTGGCAGACCACTTCTCTCCAGAAGCTGATCCAGTAAAAGATATTATCTCACCCACTTTGTCTCTCTGTTTTCCAGCAAGGCCGTTGAAGTCTTTCAATGAGTTGTTGCAAACATTCTGTGGTGTTTAGTGGAATTTAACTCCCTTGTCAGTATGTCAAAGCCTATGTTTATTTGCCTTCAGGGCATGCTGTGGTGCATATTTCTGTGTCTGAGTTTTTGCTTAAGGTTTTGGGATGGGTATTTTTATTTTCTTATTTTATCTTTTTTTTTTAATTAATGTTTGTATTACTACACCATGAAACTTTGGGGTTCACCTAGACCAATAAGGGCTTGTGTCACCACCTATCCTGGGTGCTTCTGTGCTGTTCAGCTTTAACTCAGAGTTCTGATATCACTAGCCTGCTTCACAGCACAATGCCTGGTTACTCCTTGCAGAGTGATACCAACAGCCCTTCCAGTCCCAAGTCTCCCCAAACCCGTCTCCCCTACTGTGCTCAGCCCCTCTCACTATAGCACTCACAAAACCTTATCAAGTTCACTGCTCCTTCAAAGAGACAGTACACAGCACCAGCCTGTTAGTTTGGCTGAGGATTTTAATCTTCAGTTTGAAACACTGCACTGTGAGGGGTGTGTAATAAAACAAGGTTAAGTTTATTAACACAGAACAGATATTTGTGATACCAAATAGAAGGAATGGAAATAGAAATGGTTACAAACAAACAAAAGTAAAAGTATGCTTCTAAGACTAAAACCTAACTTAACAAACTAGAGTCTTCTGTTCAAGGTAGATTTTTTTCACCACAGTTGCTCTTCCAGTATGGCAGTGCTTAACCAGGATCCAACTCAGAGCTCAAAGCACTTAGTTTAATTGTCTCTTCAGATGAAGGATGCCCAAATGGCTTTTCCTCCCTGCTTACATCCTCAAGGTTTTATCTTTGTTTCAAAGTCAGGAAGCCCTGTTGGGGGCTCAGCTTGTTGTGTCCACCAGGGAGCTGACGCCATGTTAATTTTTGCAGTCTCCTCCCCCTGGTCAAAATAGTTAGGAGGCCATCTCCCCCAGTCACTAGTTTGATGGTTTTGTTTAACTTTTCTGTAAATGTACTTTCACTGCCTCTCCTTGTTCAATTTACATTGGGGACACATTCAAGCAGACTGGTCCACATTCCTTAGTCTAGGGTGGGGTGACGTAAGCCCTTCATGTCAAACACATTTTTAAGAACATATTTCTAGCACATATTTATATTTTTTCCTTTATCACCTGTACGTGCACCATGCAATAATATTAATGGACCAGTGTGTTACCAGTTCACATACGATACCTTACGTGATATCTTTTAGATATAGATTGAGACAACACTGAGCTGGTCAGGACAGCTGAATCTCACTGCTACATACCCGGGAGCCCCTTGTCCTCTGGCACTGGGGTGCTCTTAAGGTCACATTGACCTATACTGTGTTTATAGATATGCACCCTGATCATGGTAGTGGGGCCCCTTTAGTAAAAAAAAA